TGTTTGTTTGTTTTTGTGTGTGTGTGTGTGTGTGTGTGTGAGTGTGTGTGTGTGTGTGTGCGTGTGCGTGTGCGTGTGCGTGTGTGTGTGAGTGTGTGTGTGTGTGTATATATAGTTCAAATAGTAGTTTAATTTAAGAATAATAATCAGAAGACAGTTCTTTGAAGCCTCTCATCCAATAATCAGAATTTAGAACCGTCTCATGGTTCCTTTAGCTCTCCACATATTAAACTTTCATTAAATCAAAGTAGTTGCTATAACTAAATATAGCTATTATACTTGATTGTAATTATGCTACATTATAAATCATTGGAGAGTTCATGGGTGATCTTTAGTTCGTAACCCCTTGTTTTCTTTGCATTCTCCTCTCCTCACGTTCAGGTCGTCCCCTTTCATCATTTTCTCTTCATGAACCCCTTCCCCCCAAAAACACACACACATCAAGGGCCAAACCGCAGACAAAGCCCCTGAACGATCCCGTCTCTGACTCTCACGGCGCAGGCTTCAGGCCACGACCACTGAGTCACTTTTATGAAGCATTTCTTCTTTAAATACTTCACAAATGCACTGTGCGCTTCCCGTTCTTTTCCCATGACTTACTTTCTAACAGTGAGGTTACACAGTTTTTGGTGGTCATAGCTTGTCTTTGGATGAAAATGCCCATTAGTCAATATTTTTAAAAGATCATTTCACATTTTACTGCCAAAAATGACATGCAAATTTTCAATAATATTTAAACACTATTTTGTGTTGTCATTAATTGATTTTACAACATTTTACTGTAAAAAATATTTTAATATTTAAACATTTCATCTTGAAATATTCATTAATTTTACACCATTTTACATTTTGATGACAAAAACTAATTTTAAATCATTTTAAACATTATTTTGTCAGGTAATTTTTGTTCATTTTAGACTTTAGATGTTGTATTTTTTTATTTTATTGTAAAAACTGACATAATATTTTAATAATATTTAAACATTTTGTGATGTCATAGTCAGCAATTTACAGCATTTTACTGACAAATATATTTCATATTCATTGGCTTTACACCATTTTAAGTTTTACTGACAAAATTTACATTGTCTGTTTACAATATTTAACATTATCATCATGTCATATTCATTCATTTAACATTTTACTGACAAAAATGATTTAATTGTTTAATATTAAATAAAAAAAATTAACAAACATTTATTAAATAACATACAGTATGTCAAACTAATAAATGTATCAACAATATTACATCTTGCTGGGTTATTTTGTCTGCAATTTTTTTATTAAATTAATTTAATTATTAATCATACTGCATATTTTTAATCTCATCTTCGTCAATATATTGTAAGTTAAATAGTTAGTTCAATTAAATTAAAGGTCAAATTACAATATGGCAATACTTTTTATCCGTGAATCATAATAATTTTTCAATTCTCGGTCTTCCTCAACGCTTCCCTGTTTCTCTGCAGTTTGACGGCACCATCCTCCTGATCACTCTGCTGGTGCTGTTTCTATTGCTGGCTCTGCTGTTTATGTGGTGGTTCTGGCCGCTTTGCTGCACTGTAGTAAGTCATCGCCTCATTTACTGTAAACATCAGTCTTCATACGTTCTCACAACATATCTTCCAGTACTGTGTTATTCTGGGAGCCAAAGGCCTATGGATTTGCGGTAAAGACTGAGGTTGAGTGATTTAAGGTGGAAAACTGGTCAATTTGTCTCCAGCGAGGTCATGATTTAACATGCCGTTCTGTTTTATGTGTATAATGTGACTTGTGTTTGTGGTTATGTGATTATTTGACATGTCTTTCCACAGGTGATCAAGGAACCTCCACCTCCTCCACCTCCAGAGCCAGTAAGTTACAGCTTTATCTGCTCCTATCCAAGTTTGTCCAAAATCTGATTAGATGATCTTTGGACCGAGCCACAAAGAAATGACTGAACGGAGTTTTGATATTTGCTTCCATTCCCAAGAAATGCCTCTCCAAAGTAGACCGCGTCTGTGTTTGTTGACGTGTGCTAGTTAGCTTAGCATGCTAGTTAGTTAACAATCTAACCAATCATGATGCCGTCCAATGTTGCTCTTGAGTTATTAGGTTAACCATAGTTAACTATAATCTGCGTTAGCATTAAGGTAGCTTCACATACTAATCTGGTTAACATGCAAAATAATGTTTTTTTGTGAGCTGATTCTCACACTGAAACCTCTCCTCAGCAGCCTGGTGAAGGTGCATGAGCGACTAGCTCAATGTGTTACACCACAGATCCCCAACACTTCATGTCGTGGGTTCGAAAGTGTGACACATGCTGTGACCAGAAGCAGTGCAAAAGTTGCATCTGTTCCAGAAATGGACTTTTCCAGAATCTGTACTTCTGTTCATTTTGAGTTCATTATCACCTGTGCTTCTATGTAAACAGAGCTTTATGTGTGCTATATATACACATATGTATGTATGATCTTGTTTGGGAGTGAGGGGTGGATACTCCAATCGAGATTTTATCTACGGTATCAATTCTTTTGCATTCATTTTGTGTATCAAGCATTAAACCATGTGTATTGTGCAATGCTCAAAAAAATCCTAATAAAAAAAATAATAATCCCCAAAATCAGCCAAGGGCTTGGCCCCGGTAATTGCTCCAATTTACATTTGACTGTAAAAAATGACATGTAATTTTTAAATAATATTTAAACATTATTTTGTAATGTTATATTCATTAATTTACACCAATTTACATTTTACTGTGAAATTTACATTTTACTCTTCTGTAAAGCATTAAATGTCACAGACGGAGCACGTTGATAAATATTTATGGGTCTCTAGTAGACCATAGCAGTGATGAGAGAGAGATTGACTGAGCTGAGATTACGTGCATCTGATACAGCATTCATTCTTCATCTCAGTCTCATATTCACAATAAAACATTAGTTTGAATGTCCGCTGAGGAAAGCGATATCTTTGTCGTATTATCCTTTCATCTGTTAAGGGTGATTTCCGATGACAGTGCTGCTCAGTGCAATTGTTGGCTGCTTGTTGAAAGTAAAAATAGCTTCCTTGTTTAAACCGCGTTTCAGTTTCTTTCAATATAAAAGTACTGCTGACTCACTAATAAAAACAGACTCTTGTCGCCATCTAGTTTTCAGAACAATGTAACTAACCAACACTAACGTACACACACCGTTTCCCAATACTAAATACTATTATTAAATACTACTATTATTAATATGAATTAATATGCTGACGCCCTGGAGCTCACATCTCCAAAAATGTTGAAGCTAATTTTCAAATAGACGTTATCTTTATTAACAAACTGCATATTTGAAGTTTAAACAAGTACATTCTTGCCTAAGAAAAAACGTATTTTATAAAAACACATAGCTGCCTTTTTATTTTTGTAAGGATATGAGTTTAAAAAAAAACAAGATAAGAAGTGCGATGTATTTTTTTTAAGTCTTCAGCCTTCTGTGTCTCAATCCGCTCCCTAGTTCAGTAGTAAGTACACTACTTAGTGAGGTCAGCCATGTTCTTTTTGTTAGTAACTTACAGTACGTGTGACTGTAATTGAACTATAAATAATGAGTAGCATGTTGCTTGAAAAGGTACAGTTTCAAATCAGATCAGATCAGATATCTCGTCTTCTGTATTCGGTAGCAAAACCCGTGTCAACATCTAAACCACAGCAGAGTTAGAAATAACTGAATTTTCTTAGTGTGAGATTTATAAAGAGAGTTTAATGAAAACCATCAGATGATTTTGAGTAACAACATCAACATTTCAAAGAAGCGCTGGCAGATGTTTCGTGCTTCTGCGAATGATGTAAGATGTTTTTGGTCTTCAGGAGTCAGATGATGAGGATGGGACGCCAAAGAAGAAATGGCCCACGGTGGACGCCTCGTATTACGGCGGTCGAGGAGTCGGAGGAATTAAACGAATGGAGGTGGGATTCCTCAAAAGAGGAGATGCAATCTTAGAAAAATGTGTCATGTGATTATTACTGAAATAACAAATTCATAACACTCTCTGAACTTCACTAAATACAGTGTAGCTGTTGGAAGAATAATTGTCTTGTAGTGATTATATATAAGAAGTCTCTTCTGCTCACCAGGGCTGCATTTATTTGATCAAAAATACAGTAAAAATGTGAAATATTATTACAATTTAAAACAGCTGTATTTTATGTGAATCTCTGTTAAAATGTAATTTATTTCTTTGATCAAAGCTGTATTTTCAGCATCATGACTCTGAAGACTGCAGTAATGATGCTGAAAATACAGCTGCGCATCACAGAAATAAATTACATTTTACACTATATTAAAATAGAAAACAGCTGTTTTAAATTCTAATAATATTTCACATTTTTACTGTATTTTTTATCAAATAAATGCAGCCTTGGTGAGCAGAAATACATATATTTCAAAAATGTTTAAAATTTTAATTATTCCAAACTTTTGACTGGTAGTCTATATAATTTAATATACAGTATATATATGTGTGTGTGTGTGTGTGTGTGTGTGTGTGTGTGTACACACATACACACACAACCAGATTTCACTCAGATTTATAATTGAAAAGTAATTTCAAGTTGCTAGAAGTCTTCTAGAAGTGAAATATCAAAACATCTTAGAAGGAAACTGAAAACTGAAAGGCATGCTTTTTGCATTTGCTGAAGCTCTGTAGCAGGTTTCAGAAGATCTGATCTGATGTTTTGCCTCTGGTCCAGGTTCGCTGGGGAGGGAAGGGCTCTACCGAGGAGGGAGCCAAGCTGGAAAAACCCAAAAACGCTGTCATAAAGATGCCTGAGCATGAGTTCGAACCCTTTGAACCCAAGCCCAAGAAACCAGACCACAGGAAGCCAGCTCGAGACAGGAAGTGGTATTCTCCCATTAGGGTAAAGAAGCTTTGTGACTGTCATTATCGTTTATGAAGCTGCTGGTGTTCAAAGCACATTGTAAGTGTTATTGTCTCCGGTTCAGGGTAAACTCGACGCGATCCTGGCTCTTTTCAGACGTGGATATGATCAAGTTTCACTTATGAGGCCACAGCCGGGAGATCATGTGAGTATCTAGATGATCATTATCTTTCGTCCAGAAGTATGATGTCAAACAAACTCCTCCTAACCTCAAAAATCAACATCCTGTGGACTTTCTGACTCATTTCCTTACCTTTCATTTGTTAGGCACAGCTTGCCACCTGCGTCAAATCACTAGCCATAAAACCGAAATAAAACAAACGTTGACGCTTTCCAGACAGTCCGACTCTTACATATGCAGAGCAGCCACACGGTTTGGCTTCTCCGTGTCAAATCGCAGGTTATCGGATCTGATTTAGAGTTTTTACACAAGCGTTTTGAAATGAACTATCTCCAGGTGTGAGTTAAACCGTTTCATATGTATGCAAGAAAAACGTTTTTAACTGGAATTCCATGTTTAAGAGCATCTGCCAAATTTAGCAACCAAGGAGTCGTTAAGCCGTTCATAATCAATGCATACAATGGTTCTGGTCGAGTTTTTGAGCCAGCTGATTTTAATCGCCTCGGGCGAAAGGTTGCATGACGCAAAGTTTCTCTGCGGAGGAATGGTTTCCAGCTCCTCGTCCTGTAAAGCCTGGGCCTCTCCGCTGCTCTGTGGTTTGTGACGAGAGGCCTGAAAAATGCCCAGACTGACGCTCTCGTTCTTTCTGAGTATGGAAAACAAATGAAACGTGCATCATTTCCTGTCTAAAACTGCATTAAGAGGGCATAAACTAAATCCAGCAGTGCTTCTGCTGTGGAAGAAAAGGTGAAAACAAGGTCATGCCAATGCTTTTACGAGAATCTCTAAAGATTTACTTAAGACGAAGAAAAGACAGTCAGGTTATACTTGATCAATATTCTTAGTATTAATGAATAATGTATTATATATGCAGTGCCACACTACAAAACTAAAATTGTATAATGCTTCTGAAAGAAGTCTCTTCTAAGGCTGCATTTATTTGATTAAAAATGCAATAAAAATTGTATTGTGAAGAGCGTTATTATAGTTAACTAAAACCATAAAAGAATTGTTATGTGAAATAAAATAAACATTACAAATGAAATGTAATAAAATAAATATATAATATAATAAATATAAAAGGTTTTTTTAAACAGAAATTTAAAAAAATATAAAAAATCTATGTAGACATTATATATATTTAAAACTAAAAAAAAAATAATAATAAAACAACAAAATTACTTAAAATTAAAAATGAAGCAGAAAATGCAACAATAAAAACTAATTCTAAATATTTAAATATAATATAATATAATATGTATTATAGTATATTTCAGGTAGCTGTCAAAGCAACATTTATTATCTTTATTCGATTTAACTTGAGGTACTAAATTAACTAAAGCTTAAACTGAAATAAAGATTTATAAAAAACTATACAGACATATTTAAAAGCAAATAACTAATAAACATTACGAAACACACAACAAAATTACTAAAACTTGAAAATGAAAATAAAAAATAGAAAATACAAATTCAAAAATATTTTTAAAAATGCTATAACTGTATCACAATGATACTGAAATTGTGAAATATTTCGACAACTGTTTTCTATTTGAATATTTGGAAAATAAATGAAATCGTCATGCTTTCCGGACTAAAACTGTAATAAGAGAACAAAATGTATGCCGCAGTGCTTCCGCTGTGGAATAAGAAATAAATGTCATCAGTTTCTGTTTAATTAATAATGCATTATATACGGTCAAACATTTTTTGTTATGTTTTGTAAGTCACTTACGCTCAACAAAACTGTACAAATGTAATTCTATGTGTGACATTATGAAAGTAAAATGAGCTGTAAATTGTGCACAGTAATGCCGGAAGTGATTATTAAGAAAGTAATTAGTACATATATGCTCATGTTTTTATTCATTTTTATTTCAGTTTGAGTTGTTTTAGTACATCAAGTCAAACTTAATTAAAGTGAAAAACGTTGTCATGGCAGCCAGCTGAAATAAAAAAGTTATACTTGTATTTAAAAGATCGTATATTTATTTTTGGTCACACTTTATATTAAGTGGCCTTAATTACTATGTACTTATTGTGTTCATATTGTATTGCAAAACACTTCTGCTGTTATTGAGGTGGGATACGGGTAATTATAAATGTAATTAGAGAAATGTATTACAGATGTAATTACATGCAGGTATTTTTTTTAAAATACAAGTACAATGTAAAAACATGTATGTACACAATAAGTGCATTGTACCAAATGATTAATTTAAATGTAAGTACATTAGTTAAGGTATTAGTTAACATAGTTAAGGCCACTTAATATAAAGTGGGACCTTATTTTTTAAATATATATTTAATATTTCATTTATTTAAAGTAACAAAAAAATTTTAATGGTTTTAGTTTTAGTGAACTATAAAAACCCTGGTTTAAAGGTGCCCAGGCATTTTTTTCGAGCAGGGTTTGGGGTTATAGAGGACTTTCAGAGTCTTTCCATGATGCATTATTTACAATTCTGGGTGATTTCATCTGTGGTTTTCACAGAGCTCCAGCCAGTTTGAGAGATCATCTGTGTGTGTGTGTGTGTGTGTGTGTGTGTGCGTGCGTGCGTGAGCTAAAGAGAGAACGACTGGAAACCGGGAGTGAGTAATGCTTGCGTATTGGAAAGCATCCAGCAGATGAGCGCAGTGATGTGACGCGCGTGCTTCTTCTTCTCTCCTCAGGGTCGATGCATTAACTTCCAACGAGTCAAAGAGGAGGCAGCGGCGGCCAAAGCTCCTCCTCGAGCTCAGAGCCCAGCTCCACCTCCTCCAGACTACCAGCCCGTCTCCAACCCCGTCAGCGCACCTCCGCCCGGACCTCCGCCCGCCCGCATCCCACCCTGTCCCCCGCCGACCCGAACCCCGCCGAGACCCTGAGAGAAACATCCAGCCCTCAGTGCAATCCATCCTACGGCCAAACCAAAAACTACACTTCCATAATGCACTTAAAGTGCTCTATTTTCACGCACTCATTTTGTACTTAATATACTAAACATGATTCTTTTTTAAGATAAACTTAAGATCAACTAAGTGTGCTATTTTGGGACACCATGAATATGAACTAAATCCCTGTATTTAAAAAACGTATTTAGTGACCACTTGTAGTACACTTGAACCATCTTTCATACACTAGTACACTCAAGTGTACTACATGTGGTACCTAAATGCATTTTTTAAATACAGAGATAGTATGTTAAAAGTGCATTTTAGTTCATATTCATAGTGTCCCAAAATAGCACACTTAGTTGATCTTAAGTTTATTTTAAGAAGCACTAAATAATCATGTTTAGTATATCAAGTACAAAATGAGTGCGTGAAAATAGAGCACTTTAAGTACATTATGGAAGTGCACTTTTGTTTAACCTGGGAAACCAAGAAACCCACACGCTATTTATCGCTCAGCTTCGATTAGGATGCGCTGTGTCGTTTGTTGCTGGACAGCAAAAAAATGTAAGAAAAGCAAAAAGAAATAACTGTCGTGACAAAAATTCAACTACTGAGTTTTCCGTACGCAGATTAAGAGAGACCGTTTTCAGCTTTGTGCTTCATGTACAGTGTTCCTATGAGCTTCTGATGTCCAAAGTAACCAGTATTAGATGCTATGTTATATTGTTAGTGCCTCTGGAGTATTTAGATTTGTTTATGCAGTGTTGAGTCACAGATTTTACAGTCGTTGAGTTGCAGGTTCTCTCAGGTGAGTCTCTGATCCTGTACAAAGGGAATATAATTGCATGTCAAAATGTGAGAGGAATGCAAGTGATGAGCGCGTAAAGGCAGGTTTGAACCATTTCTTTTACTGTAGATTGAGGATTATTGTCTTAGTATGTCACAAGCTTCTTCGTTTAGGCACAGCTGATGTGCAGGGTTTGTCTTAAATCATGCAGTTGCTGGAATTCTGACAGATTCTCGAAGGTGCAAAAGTGGGATGCAAGAACGGTTTCGATTGTATGCCGGATCTTTAGTTGCACTGAAAAAATGGTAACCTACAGTTGAAATTGAATGGTTTTGTTCAAATGACAAAATAGTGTTTAGCATCACTGAATCAACCTAAATGCATGCATTTATACCAACAAAAATCACTTTTATAGGGTTAAAAATAGCTTTTTAAGGTAACAATTTCCGGTTACCGCTTTTTACAGTGTGGGTGAATGTCATGAAAATATGTCCAGGTCACGTTTCACACCAGAATAAAAAAAGAGAAATATTTTTCCCATTATGACATTATTTTCATGTCAATTAAGAGCATTTAAGCCCAAAATTCTCATTACTGTATTGCATCAAGAATAATATTTTGTAATTAACTTTATCCTCAATAGTGTTTTTATTAGATTATCAGTATCGTAATACAATATTTTTAGCGCACACACACACACACACACACACTCACACACACACACACACACACACTCACACACTCACACACACACACACACACACACACACACACACACACACACACCTCAGACATATCCATCCATAAAAAGTGTCTCACACGGCTCTGGGGGGTGAACAAAGGCCTCCTGTAGCAAATCGATGCGTTTTAGTAAGAAAAATATCCATATTCAAAACTTAATAATCACTTTAATGTTCATATACACCTAGGATGACTTGAGGGTGAGTAATTTATAGGCTAATTTTCATTTTTGGGTGAACTAACCCTTTAAGCACGGGAGTAATTATTCACAGGAAAAAGCTGAGACTTGTTTCCAAGTATTTTCATAAATAGACCCCAGACAAGCCAGACATTATGCAAATGTGTTTGATGAAGACGCTCACATTCCTGGTCAAGGCTTTGTGCTGGGTTCATCATGTCATGTCTTGATTACAGTGTTTTCACTCCAAAGCGTCTCGTCAGACTGCACTCTCTATACTTGTCTTCTGCGCTCCGTCTGTCCTCACTAATTGCTTTGGCTAACCGAGAAACATCTGTGTCTCTGTGTGTTACCTTGGAGACCAGGACATCCAAATAGCAGGACGGAGGAGCGCAGGAGAAGTTCAGATGGGGTTGTAATGTGAGAAGGGCTCCGAAAAGCCTGACAATCAGCACATTCCTTTCCCTTGGCCCGGGGTTTTTGAGCTGAAAAATATCAGTGAGTGTCGGTGGACGCGGTCAGGCCGTGCATAAACAGAGCCGAGGGGGATTCACAGCTCAGCCTGCAGCGCATGACCACAGACGGAGGAGGAATAGCGCGGACACAGGCCTTGGATTCGGCAACCGGAGAAAATAACGGCCTGCTACCGTGTCTGACATTTGAAAAGCTTATTACTAGGAAGCTTTCTTCGTATAATTTATTTATTTGCATAAATTTAGTTAAAATGTATTTTAAAGACTACAAGGTCATAGAAGTTGAATGCATATAAAAAAAAATCTGTTTCTTTGTTTGTCTTTTTTTTTTTTATTGTTTTAAAAAATGTATGTTTAGATTGAAAGCATTAGTAAGTTGAGCGAAAAATAAAAGAAATAAAGATTCTAATAATAATAATAATGTATATTAATGTATTAATGTATATAATGTATGTATACACACACACACACACATATATATAGCCTATATACAGGCTACACATGTATATGTGTGTGTGTGTGTGTGTGTGTGTGTGTGTGTGTGTGTGTGTGTGTGTGTGTGTGTGTGTGTCTAAATACATCTGCAGAGACTACTAACAGACTTCCGTAGAAATTATTCTCCTGACAGTAAGTGCATGCTTTGTGTGAATAGTCATTGTTTTGCTCTCTGAATGCGGCTGTTCTCACACCTGTGCTGCTGTCTGAGTTTATCATCTGCCCACACAGCACATTGTTCCCAGAATTCCACAGCGGAAAACACCTCCCATTGTTCACCCTCTTCCTACAGCGGGCTGTTCTTCCCCCAATCCTTCCCATGTAGCAGATTGATGCCTCCATATATATATATATATATATATATATATATATATATATATATATATATTTGCT